CACAAGAGGCTTCAGTATTTTTGTTCCATCTTCAGCAGGCAGCTTGTTTTCACGAGAGATCCAAATGTTAGAGTGTGACAGGGCCTTCAGCAAACATCTGTCAATGTTGTTAAAATGTGTTCATGGTTCCACAGAGAGAACAACACCTGGATCACCTGCAGATTGAGGAACAGGGTGATAATCCTGAATTTGAGGCGTTCTTATCCGGAATTTCCAATCCGGGTTTTTCATCAAACATATTATGATTCATAAGCCACAGGAAAAAAAATACTTTAAAAGTAAAACTTAAGTTATTATTACACAAGTTATRAGAATCAGTAAGTAATTATGCCTCAACACACTGATACATGGGCGGTACTGTCTGCTGCAGAACTTGATGATAAACTCTTCAGGTATTTTATTCCTTTGAAGGTGTGTTGAAGAAGAGAAACCTAACAAATGGACCAGTGTTGTTAAAAACACAGTCCTGCAGCGTCAACAAACCACATTTAGCRTCTCTGTGCGCATGCGTAATCCCATTTACTGTTAGACTTTCCTTCAATCAWCACTTATATATTTTGTTTTGAACGCAGTTACAAATGTTGTTTAATGTAGGTAAATATTAAACTAAGTCTTGTAAGTCATATCAAACATATTTTACTCAGATAACTCAGCTGAGAGACGCTGCGTGGATTTCGTAGWGAAATAATTGTGTAGTAAAAGCTAATGGAGTGGACATCAACACACATCAGCGCAGTGCTGATTTATAATGTTATCGACAGACAGTGACTGCATCTCTATCTGTAAGATTCTAGTTGGTTCATGAAGATTAGTATCGAAAGTTAGCTGCAGCTCAGTAACTAAGCTCCGTTAATCGATTAGCAGGCGGCTAACAACACGCCTTTAAACGAGCAGGACACAGAAATAATGACACTCAAATCGTGTCTCCACATCAGACAGTGTTACACCCTCACACGGTTAAACAACGCTACATTGTGCTCCAGCGAAGGAGTGACGGGCGGTTTGGCTTTTTAACTCACCGCCGTCTCTCTCTCCTCGTCCGCCATCTTGAGATGGTTAGCAGAAGCTGTTACCATGGTAACAAAAGCTCACTGACTGGCGACCGTATCCGGAAGTGTTTACAGACAGGAGGTACATAAATTATAAATAAAACGACCCGTTCAGTTTAATAACCCTCTTTAACTCTAAGAAAATATTTAGTCCCATTCACACAGACTAAAATAAACAGACAGAAGTGGCAACTAATCACTTAAATAGCTAGACGATGCTACGCAGGTCTCGAGGCTGTGTCCGGAAAACGACTCCATCTTGAAGAAGTCATATTCAAGACACACAGCTGTGTTAACAWTGTTGAGCACTTACACAAGACGTTTCTGTGGTTGAGATGTGCCCACTTTTACATTTTATTCTATAATACAGTTTTACAGGTAGTCTGTTATTGTCAAAACAGTTTTTCAACTAGAAACATTAGGTAAAAGGTGTTGAAAAATCAGAGGTCTATAAAGTACTTGAAAAATAAGTAAAAGTAAAATTACATGAAGAGAAAAGGACTTCGGTAAAAATAAAATTCACTGATAAGAAAACTACCCAAGTAAAAGTCATAAAACTGTTTACAACAATTGGGAAAGTAAAAGTACTTTTACACACGCTCTAAAAAATAAACTGTTGAATTTACTGAACCAAACTGGTTCCACTAAGGATGAGTAAATTGAGCAATATATGTATAATCTTTACTCAGTTTACTCAACTAGGCTTAGTGGAGCCAGTTGACATGACTTTGAGTAAATTCAACACTTCATTTTTTAAAGTGCAGAAACATTTCATGATGAGTTTGAACATATTTAATTTTGTAATGAGTAACTAGGTGTTACATTTTAAAGTAAAGAAGTAAAAGTATCATTTTTAGCTTTAAAATGTAACAACTAGTTACTCATTACAAATTAAATATGTTCAAACTCATCATGAAAGAAGTTGTTTGTGCGCTCTAAAAAAATGAAGTGTTGAATTTACTCAAAGTCATGTCAACTGGCTCCACTAAGCCTAGTTGAGTAAACTGAGTAAAGATTATACATATATTGCTCAATTTACTCAACCTGGCTTAGTG